ATACTGTTGTCTGCATCTTATCAGTAGGCGGTACATATAGTATACTAACACTCAGATCATACCTTCAAAATTAATGAGGCCAAGGGGATGACATGCTTTTTCCACTCATCATGCCATGTGAGGTTAGTGACTGGTAAGAAAATGTTCTGGGATGTTCTGGGATGTTCTATGTTATCTCCTGGGAAAGGAACATCTGGAGTGGTGGAGGGTTAAATACTTTGAAGAAAGGTACTTCCAACTACAAATTATTTTGTTGTGTTACAATATACCTGCTATCATCCTAGCCCAGCCATAATAACTAGGATACTGGAGAGTGTCAGGTTGGGGAAAAAGGAAATTAAAATTAAGTTGAACTAAGGTAGACAAGTTTCAAGAATAAGTAGTCCACAGTGGTATAGAGCTGGCAGCCTTTTATTTCCCAAAATTTCTGCTCTCTGTCTCTCCCCACCTCCCCCAGTGTAGAATGAATCTCTCTGAAACATGATAGCCCTTTGGGCTCCTTTCATTACATCATTAGGATTTAAACTTCTGGGACATGGTGATATAATTTAACTCCTCTTCCAAATTCAGTTCCACATTAATGTTAATACCTTTGTGATTTTATTTTCTTGAATAAGAAGAAAAGATTTTTCAGTCTGACAGCAATTTCAGAGTGATGATGGGGGAAAGAAATGACAGATTAACTTCAGATACCTTCCTTAGTGTATCTTTTCCAAGCTATAATTTGGAGAGAAACTGATAAGACAGTAGGAACAAAGAGAGTATGTTTAACAAAAAATAATTATATGCTTCTTGGCAGCTTTATGAAAAATGTTTTTAAAAGAAGAGTTTGTATGTGACGCTGATTCTGACAGCCCATTGGCATTGCCTGTTTGGCAGAGGACAATTGCTTTGTTACTTGTGTGTTTAGTCTGTTGACCTTCAGCCGTGGAATATCTTGCATAGAGAAAGCTACGTGAATGGTGACAGCATGCACTGATCCCAATGCAGAAGAGTGCTTTTTGGATGTTACTACAGCAGATGTATCTTGAATACTTGCTGAATCACCATAACGGGTCTATACCACTCCCTTTACATGTTAAAAGGATGTGTGATGGCATTGGTATAAGTTGACAACAAATGCAAGCAGAAGGAAGATCCCTCCCCTTCCCCTTCCCCCCAGCTTATTTCAAGATTACCAGATCTGGGCTGCCAAAATCTGGGCAACCCCTAGATAGCAGCAAGAAAATGCTGAAGATTTTAATTGTTTGTTCCCATTTTGTGATCAGGATGGTTCCTTGCATGAAATGCTATGTCTGTCATGGAGAATCATTCATCACTCTCTTGAACAAATAGCTGGATCACACATGTCTTGAGAAGTATGGCTGTTAGTGCAACTTTAGTTTCCCCTTGTGAAATCAGTAAGAATCGTTTTCCTGAACATTCTGGTGAGATTCTCCCTCTGTTGGATTTGCTCAGATGACTGTTTCAGGGCTTCCAGTTTGATGATAAATAGTTTATCAACTGGGTTGGTGGTTGAACCAGGAATATACAATTTTCAGCTGGTAAAGAAGAGAAGCTGACACCTGTTAATAAATCTTTTCAGAATAAAATTTAAATGCATGGCTTTATATAACATGGTGCTTCCCAATGCTATCTTCCCAATCAAAAACAAAAACATATCACTATTTGAATTGTGAACTGTCTGTATATTTTTGCTTTCCTTTTCAAGAATTTTTGTCACCTGTTCCAGGATCCAAGCTGTGGGCAGGAAATCAAGTATTTTTTTATTAACCAAATGTATATAGCTGCCCTTCTACCAAAAGAAATTTGGGTGGCATAAATAATATCTGATTCCTGGTACCAAAATCTCTGGTTCAAGGTCTGATGACCACACATGGAACCTGGAAATTAATGTAGCAGGTATCCCAGCTTCAGCTACAATGCAATGCAGTTCAGTTCTCCCAATAAAGTTCATCAGCGTGTTGGTTTTATCTAGGACACACACAGAGTGTTTTGGGAATAATTAAGCAGGTTGGATGTAGTCACTGAGTGATGCCTAGAGAAAATGGGGTGTCTATATACTTTTCAACTGGAATTGCTGAGCCCTATTAAAAAAATGAAATTAGTCAAATTGCATGTAAGAACTTCAGTTTAAATGTAAATAATTTCTTCTGGAGCTCTGACTCCAAGCACACAGCACACAACACAAGTGTGGAATGTCATGTATGTATGTTCTGCTGAACATTTAACAAGGTCATATGTTCAGGCCTCTGGCCCTGAGTTTCTTGGAGGAGAGGCAGGATATACAAATCAAACAGAAGTAATATCTGCACTTTGATCCAAAAAGAAGTACTGTATTTTCTTTCAAACCAGCCATCATATAATGATAATAAATTGCCACAGCACTTTTAATAAATTATTTCTTGGGCATAATTTTAAATTTGTTTTGGAGATGAAAACTTGAGAATATTGGATTGTTATTAAAGAACATCTTTTGAGAATGTCTCTTTTTCTTTACTTACTTTAGCAAATTTGTTAATTTTATAACACCTAATGCCAGCAGTACTTTACTAATTAGCAAGTTATCCGAAAGGACCAGTGTGTACTGAGTCTAATATACATTTCTGTGTGGAGTCCTTGGGGTTCTCTGAGCTTGGTTGTTTTCTTGCAGACGTTTCATTACCTGGC